GGACGTGTGTATCAAGCCACAGTGCGGGCTGTTTTGTTGTGTGGCTGTGAGACTTGGCCTATTCGAGCAGCGGAACTGAGACGTATTCAGGTGTTCGACAATCGTTGTCTCAGAACCATAGCTGGTGTGGGTTGGTGTCGGCGAATCTGTAACGAGGCAGTTGGAAAGCGTGTTTTCGGTTGTGTAACGGGTACTTCCATCAGAGAATGTGTCCAGCACCAGAAGCTGCGTTGGTTGGGACATGTGTTGCGTATGTCGAACCATCGTTTGCCGAATAGAGTGCTGTCTTCCATGTCCAACTCAGAGTGGCATAAACAGAGAGGTGGCCAACCCATGACTATGGCAGTATGAAGGAGATCACGAAACCCTTGGGTGCTGTCGGTGCTACTCGCCTTCCAGGATGGCGAGTGACACAGTGATCCGCATTGTGTCTGGTTGGAGACACTACAAGATATGGCCGCCAACCGATGTCAGTGGCGTTCTTGTTGTCAGTTTCTGTCCAGATTGCCTGAGTGAATGTCTGGAGGTGTATGCACCTCGGAATGATTGTGTTAAACTAGCACTAAGTCCCTCCCCTATCCACCTTTATTCTTTTCTTTACAATAAGGCTTTCAAATAAATCATGGTTGTACGGGGATGGTCCCAACATCAAAAGAGTCCAGAAGCATCTCTAGACTCAACTCACTCGGTCCTGTGGGTAGGATATGCGCATCTGTCGGCCGGATTTGGTTTGCGTGGCGTATCCACCTGGCTGGGTCAACTTGAATCTCGTAGAGCATCTTGCTGTGCTGGCGAAAAATTAGTCATGGAATCCACAATGATGTCTGCCGGTGTAGTTACGAACCGACACTCTGACCTTTGCTGAATGGGCGCTCAGCTGCTCCATGATGCCGGTTGAACTGTTCATCCATTCTGGTAATGTGATTAGCCTGCCTTTTTAGTGGCTGGATGGTGTTATGCGGTGTTCGAAGCCTTCTTTGGAGCAGTGCCTCTGCTAGTGACACTCCTTCAGTTGAGTTGGGGTTTAGCGTTGCTCGATATTCTTTTGCAAAATCTCTTCCGTTGGTCCCTCCTCTCTGGACTTTTGAAGTGCCCGCTTCAGAGTGTCAACGAAGCGTTCCGCCTGGCCGTTCGACTTTTGGTGAAACGGTGGAGAGTGGGCATGCGTTATGCCCTACTCCTGACAAAAGTTTGCAAGCGCCGACGACCCTGAACTGACTGCTGTTGTCGGATACAGTTGTCGGAGTCCCAGGACTCTGGCGGAAGTTGTTCATTAGAATAATTTCCGGCCATTTCCTATAATGCATCGACCGCCACCAAAAAGTGTTGGCCACCCACTGGACCTGCATAATCGATGTAAGACGATACCAGGGTTCGGTCGGTTGCAGCCACGACCGTAGGTAGGTTTTCACGAGTGACTTGGATGCTTCAGCACAACACAGGCAAGCTTTTGAGACTCGCTCGATCAAAGGCCAGTAGACGTAACTCCGAGCAATGGCCTTCATCCTGTTTGTTCTCGGGTGCCGTTTATGAAGCTAGTTCAGAACGGCTGGTTGTAACTTCTGTGGGACGACGGCGCGTTCTGAATACAAAAGGCATCCTTCGGCTAGTAATAGTGCGTCACGTCGGTTGAAGTAAGATCTCAGTTCGTCTTTTGGGCAGGTACGCGGCCACTGATTGCGGCAGTACCTAATGACTCGCTGTAGCACGGGGCCTCGGTCGGTAGCCTTGTGGACCATATCGGCAGTCACTGGGAGAGTACGAGCTGCTAGCGTTCACGTCAAAACAACCACCAAAGGTGCACAAGGTATATTAACGCCCAAAACTTGTGCAGCGCTTCATACATATAGTGTAAGCGGTGGCAACTTTCTGGAAATTCTGACGCCTTCTGGATGCGGCATTGGCAACCGGCATTCGGCCAATACTAGGTCATGATTGTCTGTTGGGTCTAGACTTTCGACCAACAAGATCTCGGTTTGATGCCGGACTGGCAAGAGTCCGGAATTTTCGACCAACCTTGCGTGGGATATGCTTCTCGGCCGTAGTAGCACCTGACTGCGAGTGGCAAAATGGGATCCGTGTGAAATTCCGCCTAACGGGGGAGGGGGGGGGGCGCTGCAGGAAAGCAAGGTAGT